ATTATTATTATTATTATTATTATTATTATTATTATTATTATTATTATCATTATTATTATTATTATTATTATTATTATCACTGTCATTGTTGATTATAAATTAGCATGCTCAACAAAATTTAAACGGAAATTTATTTCGACTTTATATTACGGATTTTATGGAATTCTCTCTTTTTTCTCCTTTTTCTTTTCAAATAATTCTAGCTTGTTGTTTCATTTCCAAAGCATATTTCATTAGTTTTGCTGTTATCAATTTGTGGATTGAAAGTCTATTTTTGCTTTTTTCCTTTTTTTAAAGAAAAAGTTCTAAGAAAATGAAAATTCAGGCAAAACATTTATTTAAATAGATTTCTTCTTCTTTTGATTCATTAAATGATTGAATATATAATAATTATTATTATTCATTTGAGGTAAAAGAAAGAAAAAAGAAATTACCTCTTTATTAGCATCATATTTATATGCTCTTTATTTGTACAGTTTTTTTTCTACCTTTTCATCTTTTCCTTTTTTTTCAAATTTTAGTCGAATGAATGTTAATATGGTGCCACTGTTTAGACTATCTCATTATCATTATTATCATTATCATTATTACTAATTACGATACTTTTTGTTTCGTTTTGTTTTGTTTTTTTGATTTCTTTTTCCATTTCTGATAAAATATGTACGGTTATGGATGCAAAGGTCAAAGGTTTCCCCTTCATTTTCCTTCCCTTTTTTTTTCCCATCTTTACTTATCTATTTATATACAGTTTATCAAAAATTTTTCAAATGATACAAATTTTGTACAAAATTATCAGTGGTAATCATAATAAAGCAAAGCTGAAATTGATTTCAATAATAGGCAAAGAAATAATTCCTATCAATATTTAAATTTTCTGTCGGAAATTTCACTTCTAATATGATTTTTCATATCCTTTGCATCCTTCCTTTATTTCTCATTTTACATTTAATATTATTATGCTGAAAATATGAAAAAAAATATAATTTCTTATCTTCCTTTCTTAAATCGTCCGTGTTGTTATTGTCAACAAATATTTTCTGTATTACAGTGAAAGGTAAAAATTAGTTTGATATATTGTTTGCATGTGAAATGAACTGAAATATATTTATATACAAAGTGAGTGCATTGTATTAAAAAGAAAAAAAAAGTTTGCATTATTATATATTAAATTTTGTTGCATGATATTTTCATAACTTTTTTAATCATGGAATGTATATTTTCTAAATTTGAAAATTGAAATTGAAATGAGAAAGGATTTTTTTTGGCAGGAAAAAAGAATTCCTGGAGGTTCCATCATTCATTCTCCCTCTATCCCATATCATCCAGACCTCTCCTCTTTCTCACTTTCTCCAATTTGCCGGTTTTAACTTACTCTTTTTTGTTTCGTTTTTTTTTCTTTTTTTTTGCTTCATTTTCTGCAGTACCGTTGAAATTTACGTATTCAGGAACTGTTAGCTATATATACATATATATGTATAGAGCTTTTTTCTTTTTTTATAAATTTCACTAGATCTCACGCTATAAATGCTTATTTGGTTGTTGTTGCTAAGTGTCCTTCGTCTTTTCTTGAGGATTTGATGAACTTTTTCGAAATTCCTTACGGGAAACAATTTTGCGGAAAAGATACGACAAATAAAGGATAAAAAGTACCTCATATTCGAAAAGTTCACAAAAATGCCCGGGAATATCCCCACCTCCTTTGTTTATGTTTAGTTGTTGCGCATCAATCCTCAAAACTGCAATACAACCAATGAACATGCCTGTATCTTGTGCAAGCGTAGTTTTGCTGTCGTTATGTTTCAGATTTGCTCGGATATTTGTATATTGGCAAATAAAAAGCTGCTATGGTATGATGATGCCAACAATCCTCCAGTTATCCAAGTGTGAGAAATGTTTAACTGTTGATTATCACTGCTCTCGAATATTGACTGATCCTGTATAGACCACAAAATAACACATGTAATCATATATAACTTCCTAGAAATTCAAGTTACCACCACTATATATAGAGGATAACCGTTGAGACATTACACTGCACAGTTCATTTCTCATATGAACACTCATTTACAAGGGCAATATATTACAGTCATATCTGCCGATCGAATTTTAGGGTGTTTTTCTAAATGAATTTCGGGATGAAATGGCATCCATGAACTTTACAATGACTTTCGAAAATAACATGATTACAGCGGGTACGGAAAGAATGAGAAACAATTCTTGTGCAAGTCTGGAGTAATATTATGCTACATCAAAGAAGTGAAAAAAATCAGCGGACTAAAAACTAACCGAGATCAACAATTTCAAAGATTTTTTTTCCTTCGGATCAAATAAACATTAATACAGCGGTTTCATTACAGAACTGTAGCAAAAAAAAAAGGAAAAGTCCACTATAACTTTTCTGATATGCTCCCAGGGAAATGCCTTTATTTATAAACAGAAGAAGGAGACTATTAACACCGTTCTTTAACCATACAACATCATCATTAAAGCCAAGTCACGATTAAGAGAGATTTCAAAGAATATGTAAAAAAGTTGACTTAATGGTGATCAGGATGAAGGGGTGCAGAAGCAAAAAGTTGAGTCAAATTCAAAATTAAGTTTGAAAGAGAGCAAAAACGTGGAATACACTAGATGCAAAGAGAATCTACCCGATAACTCATATGACTATATTGATAAGACAAGGAAAGTACAATGGTGATATCTGAATACTACCCACTAACTCAGATGAAAAACTACAGGATAAAATGGAAAGGACACGCGAGCTGAAAATTTAAGACACCAGAGATATAGCAACATTTACATATGGGCCAAAAAAAGGAAATTCTTTTTAGAATCCTAACCAATCTGAGAGTTACGACTGCATACAGTAAGTCTTCCAAAATTAACACATCTTCTAGGAGTGGGAAAAAAACAGGGTTCCTTTTGCCATGGATAATGTAGTGCAGATGACTTTGACTGCACCACTGCTGTGGTATAACCCACGCTGTAGCACTGCATCGTTAATATCAATAAATTCAGGGTAACATTAATTTTTTAAGCAACAAATGCCAAAACTGCGCAGAAATGTTGTGAAACGATCAATTCAGGTTTAACTGAATTAGCATCCTCGGAAATACGCACTGCCATACAAGCATGTTAACGCAGAGCAAATGCAAATAGAGAAGTTCAGTTCAGGATTCTGAAATAAAACATTTGCATCTCGAGAAGTTCAAAAGTTCAAACTGCTAGTAAACTAATTTTTTTTTTGTTATGGAAATTACAGAGATAATGAGAGTAAAATAACGATGTAACAGTGATCGCATGTCTGAAAGGACTAATGCTAAAAAATTTCTATAGATTATTTGCGATCGATCATATCATCCAACAGTCAAAATATTAGTTATTAAACACTTACTTTTAATTGCCTATTGGTTATAAAACACTTATTTTTAATTGCCTATTTTTCGAGTTCAAAACATACCTATCAAAAAGTTTGGAAGTGTTGTCGTAGCCTATCCTATGGAGTATCAACTGATGTCGCCCACGAATCAAGATAACGTTCAAAATCTATGATTGGTCGCATATCTTCGGGATGACGGCCAACTTCTCTCCACGAACGAAGTGAACGTGCACATAACAAACGCTGATTTTCAAGGCGCCTTTGACGAGCAATACGGTATTTTCTGCAGTAAACTACTACATATATTTTAAAATAGAGCTTATTGGTTTGACAAATGTAACTCTCCAGATTCTTTTAAATTTTACATAAATTTATAAATTCCTTTTGCAAAATCCTTCCACTTTTCTTGTGAGTTTAAAATTATACATACCAAAGCTATTATAAGAAAAATCACCTTCGCAAGCTTACCGCTGCAGCAAAAAATGAGCTAACACCACTTATAGCAATGAGCACCGATCCTGCACCTACTGTTACACCCGAAAATGAATTCACCGAATAAATCATTGCTCCCACAACAAGAGTTATAATACATGCTAACACTGCCAGCACCACTGAAATCTCAATGTTTCTTCCAAAATGTTCGAAGTATGCACTCGAAAATTCTTACGAAATATAGGAATAGCTTACTACTACTCATTTCCAGGATTGTATTCCGCTTGAGCCAGTTAAGAAATCCTGATGATGTCGGAACGATGCTTAAAATGCAAGCCAAGGTGGACTTTACGACAATAACAAAGCAAAAAGCGATCAAAACATAGAATAAATTGGCGATCAAAGGTGTGATACAATCGACTAGCACTGAAAAAAGGATTTTGAGAAACAAAAGAATGCGAAATTACAGTCTGAGTAAAATCCACTACGACACAAACTTATGAGAAATTGTGTTACTTACTATACTTATACAAGACAAAATTTTACCAAAATATGTAAAACCTACTACATGAGTAGTTGCAGATAGTAACATCGTCCTTTTATCCGTTCTTCCTCACGACAGTTACTGAAGTGCTGTGATCAGAATAAATTTTAAATTCTAGATAGAAAACTGAATAACCTTTTCCATCAAAATGATATGTTGTATGATAAACACCTTTCACATCAACGAAAGATCCGAATTTGGCGGTACGCCAGAAATGTCGAATACCAACCCTACAAACTCAAAACAATTACAAATTATGATAATAAACCTGGATTCTGTGCGCATCCTTTTAGTTTTTTGACTGTCGAATTTCAAAAACTGAGTTTTTTTTCATATATTCTCAAAACACACCCATAAAATAACTGCAGCAAAAATTAAAGGGAACTTAGAGATTCTACTCACGTCTTTTATCTCCTTGTTTAGGATTAATGCGCTATGCTTCCACCAAACCAGAAAGTTTGGACCCAGATTAGCTAATTTACAAGTTCAATCTGGCCTCTCTCTCCTTTTTCCCGTTGTTTTCTTTTCCAGCTTGACTTCACAATCAAGCTTCAAAAAAGCTTTTTGATAGGATACGGCCAGAGAAATAAGTCATCAGTAATCCACAAGAATGTGGGTTATTGGTGACTAGTTTATTAATATACGAAACAATCTTATCCCAAAATTCTCACGTCACAGAAAGTGGTACTCCGGAAACTCAGTAACATAAAAGAAACCCTTTGCAGCGATCCGCTCGTACGGATGATGAAACATAACTGAAGTAGTTATCGCTACGAACTGAGCTGTTGTCGTCCAGTTGAGCTGCATTTCGACTTTCTTTGCTACTATCATCAATGCGAATCCATTCATCATTGACTAAAGCACAGACCGCCTAAAATATCATTTGGTCATCCCAAAAAACCACAAATTTCGGAAAAGAAGTAACCAATGAAAAATGATAAAGAAAAATGTTTCATTGAATACTGAAAACAGTTCCAAATGATGAAACCGGATAAGACCCTGAGAGTGATCTAAAATCCATACAGAATCATTCAACAGGGATCAAAGGTAAAAAAAGCAAACGATATTTGTCCATGAACATCCATCATACTGAATATCTGCTAATACTGCTCGCCGTTATCATCCGGAAAACAATGAGTTTTTCGGACAATTTCAAAATATTGTTATGGGAAGTTTAAAAAAAAATACTGTTATGAAATGTACGGAAATGACTTAACGAAACTGCGGCCAGCAAACTGAATAATGCAGCGGGGAAATCCGCCTCGGATGTATCAAAATATTTGCATTTTAATTCGATCAGCATGAACTGGAAATATATACGAAATTTTCTTTTAACATACAAAATTATCTCTTCAACGTAGCCTACGATTAATCACAACACGAAGCAATCATCTTTCCGGACGGTCCAGATATAACCGTCCCGGAAGCACCCAACCCAACCCATAAACCACCTAACTCATCCCTCCAACCGAAATTCTAACATCGGAAGTTAAATTAGCCTTGTCAAGTTTAACCAGGGGCATAGTGCAAAAATGCATCCCAGATGCTAAGCAGAATATTTTAATTTTCTTTTTTTTGAATCTAATTCTTCTAAATTCCACTGAAATACTTACTTACCATCAAATTACAATAGCTTATTTGTAGCTTTTCGGCAATAAATCATTTCAGACTTATAACAGCTAAATTTTACGAAAAATCAGTACTGATATGGTAACATCCAACTTTCAATCATTCACTTCATATTTTATTCATTTTAATCTGATTCCATATGTGGATTTTATCTTGACATACTTTTTTCTTCTTGGTAGCAATTTGAAATTTTAAATCATTGCTTGAAATAATTCGTAAAATAGTTCAATGCATTTAATTCATTTTCACTCATAAATTAATAACTCATTTTTAATTTTGCCAATTTTTTTTCCCCCCTTCTTTTTCTTCTACTTGAATATTCATAAATCTTTGCCAGTAGATAAGAAGTATAAAAAAGGAAGAGGGAGAAAGAGAGAAGGGGGAAGGGAGAGAGGGGAAGGGAAAGGGAAGAAAAAAAGAGGTGAGAAAAGGCAAAAAAGAAAAAATGAAAAAGATTTATAAGGTGATCAGAAAATGTTTCCATCTCTCTTCTTTTTTTTTTTTTTTTTCTTTTTCTTCATTTATTCTTGTTTACCAATTTCTGTAAGCATGAGATACTTTACAGTTTAGTTAAGTAATCAATGTAAGATTAAAGATTAATTTTTACTTTTAACAACATTTATTATATTGTCATTTCAACTTTAACATTTAATTGACGAATTTTTAAGTAAATTTAAGGGTTTATGCTATTTTAGTGTGTATGTGTGTGTGTGTGTGTGTCTGTCTGTCTGTATGTGTGTGTGTGTATGTATGTATGTGTGTGTGCGTGTGTTTGTGTACAGACAATTTCTTAATTCGCAAGGTAAATTAATTAATAATAAATGATTGCTGTCTGGAATGGAACTGTGTAAAGTTCAACGGAATGATGAAATGAATTGAGGGTGAAGGAGGAGGAGGTGGAATGGGAGAGGAGGAAGAGAGAGAGGAGAAATGGAAGAGGGACATCATAAAAGGAGGAAGGATTGATATTATTAGTTAATGCGATGATTTGTTTTGAAAGCATCAAAATTCCTTTCCTTTCTTGACCTTCCTCTATCATTTGTGCTCTTTCATGTCCCTTCATTTATATGAAATATTACCGGAATAGGGATGAAGGAGGAATTGGAAATTTCAGGAAATAGAATACAATGGACGAAGAGAGAAAGGATTTTCCTTAGAAGGCAAAAAAAAAACAATCAGTAATTTTATATCTTCATTTCTTTTCATCCTCCATCTTTTCTCCAACTATTCCCCATTAACTTCTGTTCATTTCGAAAAATTTATTTGGGTGTAAAGTTTAAGATGATTGTGAGGAAGGAAAGAAAAGAGTACAGAGAGCAAAAATGACCGACTAAGTGATTGTTCGACAATATCCATAGATACAGGTACGAGAATTGTCATTATCATCATCACTTTGTACCACCACTAAATATTGTTCAAAGGTTATCAGCAAAAGTATCAAAGGAGGAAGAGGAAAAAGAGGATGAAGATATTGAAGAGGGAATTTGTCAACTATTTTATTGACCAATACAGGTAAATGAAGAATGGGAAGAGTACAAAATGGTAGAATCGAGATTATTTGACAAAAATTTTCTCATCAGATATCTGCTACTATCACAAGATAGGTTGTGTATACATCTTCGTCGAAAAATATCGCCCCCAGTTCAATCAAAATACTTCTCCTCTCCTCCGTTGCTGTAATATTTGTTGGTTGGTGGATTTGATGAGGCCGGGGTAAAAATCCCGATCGGTTGCCCTCAATCCCTCTTTGCTTTCCTGTATCCTCTCGTCCTAACTCTTTTGATAGCTGTAACCTTTTTCTACCTGCTATACCTATCCCGCTTCTCTTTGTCCTACCTTTTTCACCTATTTCATTCTGGTTTAACCATTCCTCTTTTTTCCTCCTCCCCTATCAACCGTAAAAACAAAATTCCTTTATGGTCTGATGGTGTATTACGAAATGCTAAATTTTGGAAATGTGTAAATTTTTCATAACTCATGAAATCAATTTAAAAAATCAATTTAATTTTGATCATTAAATGACAAACAGCTTTTTCAAATTATCAAATTTCAGTTGACTTCTAATCGTTTCAAATCAAACTTTATCACTTCAATTTTTTTCATGAGCATATTTATCACCCTTGTTCCTCATCCTTTTTCCATGATTTTAAATTGAATTTTGGGATTTATCTCAATTTGTCGTAGCATTATATTATTTCAATCCTACTCATTGGACAATAATGAAATTCTCTTCTTTAAAGAGAATGTATCAAATTGATACTTTAAAAGTTAAAAATAAAAAAAAATATTAAATATATGAAATAATGTTTTATGTTTTGGTCCAAATGTAATTTCGTTCCTTTTCTTTTTTTTTTTAATTCTAAAATTACAAACTGAATTAATGATGTAATGATTGTAATATGGTAGAAAACAGTGATGCATATTTTTGCATGAAGCTATTATGATAAGAGTACCATATCATATTGGTACCATTAGTACCGTAATATATGAAATACTATTAAGTTCCGCTCTTCATTTCAGTATGATCGCTGATGCGAATTTAAGTTGCAAGTTACAAATTGAATTAGTTCACGATACGGTATGAGGTGAGGAGTATGTTTCGTATAAATTGTTTAAAAAGTTTTATTTTAAGAACAAGGAAGAAATTGAAGAAGGGAGAGAAAGAGAAAGAGAGGTAAGTAAACGGGGTAGCAAAGAAAACAATAATGATTGAGGTCGACATAAATCGAGATTCCCGGCCTCCCTCTCATCAAACAGTATTACAGCAGCTGAGAAGAGGAGAATTTTGAAGAGCCGGAGGGGATATTTCATTGGTAGGAGAAACATTAGTAAACCATAAGATGGGACGAGGTTTCACGGAAGAGGATGACAGTTAGATGGGAGGTCAGAAGAAGCGAGGAGGTGATAGTGGTAAAGGGAGAGGGGGAAGTAATGAGACGAGGCGAAAACGAGGTTAGAATGCCTCCTACGCGACAATGTATTCTTTCTTTCTCTCTTCCTCTTTCTCTCCCTCCCTCTTTCTCTCCATTTCTTCTTGATTTGAAGTATTACTACCTGTCACCAGTCTGGTATCAAATTACAACATCCCTCTGAAGTTTGGAAAATTTTCGAGAATGCAAAAGTAGATGACAATTTAATCGAATAAATTGTCAAATTTAAAATTTCAAGTCCTTTTCAGTTCCGATGAAACGATAAGATAGATGGATGATCAAATTCACGGATGCCTTTTCAATAAATTTATAATCAAGCAAATAACGTAACGGCGAAAATTCTTTTCACTTCATCACTAATTAACAATTTTATAAATTTAATTTTAACCCAATCATCAATATTTCCTTCTAGTATGGCATATTTTGACCATTTGCAAAATAATCCTTAAATAAATCAAATGGTGTCGATCAATAAATCAAAATAACCAATCAATAATATTGCCAACTTTTCATCCAATGTGACAAATGTTTAAATGTTTTGGATTAATCCAAAAAAAAAGAGCTGAAAAATGATTTGTAATCAAAAATTTGCACAAAAAATTTATGCGTTTTTTTAAAAAAAAAAAAGAAAAATGTATATAAAACCAATTAATTAATGTAAAATAATGCAATTAGTTAACAATAGAAAGGGGAGAGAAATGAGTGAAAAAAAAAAACATCACAAATATATCAGTGGAAAAAAAAAGGAACACATAAACAAATGGCACATCCAAGTGAGGGAGAGAGAGAGAAAAAAAAAGCAAAGAACAGAGAGAATTATCCAATAAAATTTGAAGAGCTGAAAAAAATCTAAACTTTTTTTTTTTTATTTTTTTAGAAA